ATAAGAACTCAGGAATAAAGTAGTTAGCTTGGATAGGAAACAGAAGGCTTTCTAATGATGATACCTGACAGAGGTTGCTTCAATGATGAATGAAGACGGATAGACTCAGCCATGTATGAAAGGAAAAGGAAAATGGGAAGAGCCAGGACCCAAGTCAGAGTTCACAGTGGCGCAGTGTCACCATGAAATCTAACCAGACTCAATGTGCCTGAGAATTGGGGGGCCTTTTATACCCTTAAACCTAGCCTGAGGCGAAGATTTGTTACTGTGTATCAAAGGATTCTGGATTGATACTCTTTGAAGTAGACAATTTCGAAAGCGAAGAGATGGGATGTTAATGTCATCTCATCCTCATCCAGACACATCCTGGCTGGGACTCATAAATCTCCTAGGTGTGAATGTCCTGTGTTGCAGCTCCTAACCCTGGCCTTTTGATCTGTTAATGAATTGTTGAGGCAGATGTGACCACTCAAGTGTCTATGTGAGGTCCTTGCTTAGGATCCATGGTGGTTTGGGCCTTTCTGGTTTAGAGCCATGACAGAGGACCTACAAAGGGGTTTTTATATCAGAACAATGCTTATAACATTATCTTTCTGCAAGCAGGTAAGAACCTTTGTTATTCCAATTTTGAGAATTGATTTTTTAGGGGAAACAGGCAATGTGATGGATTTCAATTTGCTGTTGTTGTTTTTAATGGGTTTTGTTTTTTAAATGGTTTAGGTTTTTTTAATTGTGTGCCTTCCTATTCATGGCAAATCTAAGGTGAATCTATCACAGGATTTTCTTGGCAAGATTTGTTGATAATGGGTTTGTCATTGCTTTCCTCTGAGGCTGAGAGAGTGTGACTTGCCCAGCATCACGCAGTGGGTTTCCATGGCTGAGTAAAGATGTACATCCTGATCTCCTGGAGTCTTAGCCCAATGCTCAAAACCACCAAATACCAAACAGGCTCTGTAAGTTTTAATTTTCCGGTGGTTTAATTAGTTGTTAACTTTTGCATGTTGTGACTTTTTAATTATGCTTGTTTTGTTGTAAGCTGCCTTGATTCCCAAACTGGGATTCCTCATGAATAACTTTTGCCATCTTGACCACATTATGTTGTTGTTCAGCTACATGTGTCCCAGTTTTTATCTATGAAATGTTGGAGGGTATAAAAAAGGCAGTAAATAAAAATTAATGAGAGCCCATAAGCTGCTAGCATATTTTGTCAGATGAAGAAAGCTCCAGCCACTATTATCTCTTGAAGACAGGGATGCAAATCTTCAACTACTTCATCCTTATATGAGGATGTCTTCTCAATTATGGTAGTCTTCTGCACTGCTATGGAAGAAAAATTAATATTCCTTTGCAAATCCCTCTAATAAATAAATGTTCTTCCCATCCCCAGCTGAAGATAGTGGCTGTGATACTAAAGCATGAATCAGGATGCCTTATGTTCAGGGCTGGTTCTAACATTAGGAGGACTGAGGCTACTGCCTCAGGTAGCAAATGCTGGGGCATTTCCCTAACCATTCCAATTCCTTGAAAGACAGGGCCATCCTGCCCCCTCTATAGTCTGGTCTGCTGAAAGTAGAGATGTAAATCTTCAACTACTTCCTCCTCATGTGAGGATGAATACTTACAGTAGTCTTCTCCATTATCATGGAAGAAAAATTGATATTCCTGGCTGTGAAAAAGGATGCTCTCTCCCTTTGTCAATGTTGAAATGAGATGTAATTGCAATTCTCATCAGCTTTTTTGTACAAGTGGAAGGGACCCCATGTTGCCCTTTGCATCAGACAGTGAAATGGCTTGGGCTGACCCTGCCTGTATTCCAGTTGCAGCCACATCTGAGATACAAGGACCAGAGTTTAAAGAGGATTAGCAACACACTGGATCCATGTGCAGAAGAGAATCATAGAATCATAGAGTTGGAAGAGACCACAAGGGCCATCCAGTCCAACCCCCTGCCATGCAGGAACTCAAAATCAAAGCATCTCCGACAGATGGCCATCCAGCCTCTGTTTAAAGACCTCCAAAGAAGGAGAATCCACCACACTCCGAGGGAAGAAACAAGATGATAAAGGATCTGGGTACTAAACCCTATGATGTATGGTGGAGGCAGTTGGGTACATTAAACCTGGTGAACATTCAGAGGTGATATCATAATCCTCATATGGGAAGGTGAAGCAAGCTCCAGAAAGTAGGACCCAAAGCAATGAATTACAAGAAAGGAGATTCCAACAAAGCATTAAGAAGAACTTCCTTGGATACCTGATACCTTGGACGATGGTAAACTCTCCTTCTTGGGAGATTTTTAAACAGAGCTTGAATGGCCATCTCTCAGGAATGCTTCAGGTATGGATTCCTTCATTGACAGGGATTGGACTAGATGAGCCTTAGAGACTGTTCCAACTCAATGGTTCCAAACCTAGGAAATCATTCGTAGACAAGCCAATACTCTGTTGCCCAAGATGTTTTCCCTCTGAGGCATTACAATACAAGTACATTGACCTCACAGGATCATTGTAAGAGGCTTGGAAATGTTTCCAACTGAAGCAGTCCCATTGATGGAATCTATATACGTGTCAGGTCACCATTCACCAATTGAGTCAATGTGTTCACTTAAGTTAGGACTACCAATAAGACACAGAGCTGGAATTCTGTTAGCAATAGCAATAGTGCTTATATTTCTATACCACTTGATACTGAACTCAGCACACACTAAGTGGTTTACAATGATTTACAACGTGTAAAGCAATTGCCCCCAACAATCTGGGTACTCATTTTACCAACCTACGAAAGGATGGAAGGCTGAGTGCACCTTGGAGCCCTGCCTGGGATTGAACTCACCATGTTGTTGCTGAAGTAAAAACATTTAACCACCACACCACCAGGGCTCCTCTTTGTATTAGGGACATTCATGTGTGAGTATGTGCCTTCAAGTCACCTGTCAACCTATAGCAAACCCATGATTTCATAGTTGTTGTTTGTTTGTTTGTTTGTTTTTTGAAGGCATAAAATATTAATAGGTTTTGCCAGCTCTTTCCTCAGTCTAAAATATTGCCTATAGCACCTGGTATTCCTTGATGGTCTCCCATCCAAGTCCTAACCAGGGTTGACCCTGCTTAGGACATACAGATACGTTAATCATGCCACACATGCAGGGCTAAAAAGTCACCATTGTCCAATGGAAGTATTCTGCTGACAGAATACAGAAGTCCACAGACAGCATGTTCATCTGTGCCTTGTGTTTGGAAGTTTGTGCATTGCATGTTGCAATTGTGCATCCGACGTTGTGCATTGCAGTAGTGTATTCTATATTGTGCATAGTGGTGTCTCCTTGTGGTTGTGCATCTTCTACTGTGAGAGACAGCATGATGTAAATGGTTTGAGTGTTGTACCATGACTCTAGAGACCGGGGTTCAAATCTTTGCTTGGTCATGGAAACCCAATGTGTGGCTTTGGGCAAGTCACACTGTCTTAGCCTCAGCAACAGGCAAACCACCTTGGAATAAATCTTGCCAAGAAAACCTCTTGATAAATTCGCCTTAGGGTCACAATGAGTCAGAAACAATTTGAAAGGCACACAATAACAATCTTATACTGTGCATCTTATACTTTGCATTGCAGTTGCACATTGGTGTGTTGCAGTATTGTGCTATAGACAATAGCATCTAGCCATTGACATGTTTTGCCCAATGTGCTGCTATTCTGCATGAGGGCTTTGTAACCCTCACATAGCGTCTCCCTATGCTGAAGTGGTGTTGGGTTGCAGCCTATATGTGAAAGATTATGATTTTTTAAAAACGTTAATGACTATTACTTCCCAGGAAGAAAAGTCACCCAAAACTGCCTGATGCTACTGTGGTCCTCTTTCAATAAAGAGGGGTGCATTATGAAATTTCCTGAGTTGTTGAGGAAAGACAAAACAAATGCTTATCTCAAGTATTCAGTTCCAAGTTGTTGTTTTTAAAATTCTTTTCAGAGTGCTCACACTCCTTTCTCGCCTTTTTCTAAAAGAAAAAAGTAAGGTATTAAAAGCATTTTTTTTTTCCAACAACAAAAAATAAAGCTGCAAGCTACGTCTACTTCTGTAAGCATTTACTCCCGGGAAGAAAGAAGGATTGCTTTCCAGTGCATTGTCCACCCACATTAGAGAAAGGATTAAGCCGATACATTCAGCTATTCTAACAGATTTCCTTTAAGCCTTCAATACCCTCCTCTCACATTCACTTGGCTAATCACATTAGTTTTGTCATTAAAAGACACCACCATCTCCTTTATGGCAAATACCTAAACCGCTTACACCACCCAAAGGGGTCGCATATATTAGGAAAACAAGACAAACGGAAGGGATTTACCAGCATCCAGCTCAATGTTTTAGTGCCTCTCTCCTTTTATATACTCAGGAGATGGAACCAAGAGAGATTTATTATTATTATTTTGCAAATGGAAGTAGGAAGTGGGGAGCCACAGAAACTGGGTGACAGCTTTTCCTTCAGTACTGTGAATCCCTGAGAAGGTAGGGGGAAGATGATGGAGATGGTCTGATGGTTACACAGAAAAGGCCATGATATCTAGAGTCCAATTGTGCCCCCTTCCGGTAACATCTTGAATGAAAGTGGAATTCAAAACCATAGCTGTGTTGAATCTGCAAAATCTAGTATGCAAAGGGCTATTGCAGCACTTTTGAGACTAACTGAAAGAAAGAAGCTGGTAGCATCAGCTTTCTGCTGTCTTGTAGACTTTAGGAACCAAAGTTAGAAACCTGAAAGGGTAGAGAGAGTTTCACAGCCAGGGAGCTGCTGTACTCTTTAGAATTACTCTATAAAGTAGACTTTATACTTACATTTTGCCTGTGGTGTCCTGTGGGACTTTTCTTCTTGTTGTGTGCCTTCAAGCCATTTCCAACTTATGTGGACCCTTTCATGGGATTTTCTTGGCAAGGTTTCTTCAGAGGAGGCTTGCCATTGTCTTCCCCTGAGGCTGAGTGTGTGTGACTTGCCCAGTGGGCTTCATGGCTGAGCTGGGAATCGAACCCTGGTCTCCAATGTCATAGTCCAACACTCAAACCACTATGCCATGCTGGCTCTCAATATTAAAGAGAGCTGTTAGAAACTCAAGACATCTTCCTTTTTGAAATTCTTGCGCCATCAATCAACTAACATCTTACAACAGAGAGGAGCAATGTACCGCTCTGCAGTTGCCATTGAACTGCAATTCCCAACCTGCCTCATCATTAAATATACAGGTTAGAGCTAATGAGAGTCAGAGTCCGACAACACTGGCAGGACACACACATCTCCGTCTTATTATTACATTAGAAGCCTTTAAGAAGGCACTTAAGACAGAGCTCTTCCAGCAGGCCTATCCACCTGATCTCCCTAATTATAATCTAAAGTCTAATAGTACCATCTGATATGCCTCCCGGATGTTGGAGATGACCAAACTTGGTATATGATTGGGTATTGGATTTTATTATATGGACTGTAGGTTTTTATTATTGTCATGGTTTTATATATTGTATTTTTGTACA